CATAGAAAGGGATCTTTTGTCCAGACTTAGGGTCACATGGATGTTAAGCACAGAAAATGTACACTATCAATGTATATCTTTTTCAACAAAATAAACATTTAAATAATTAATTGTTAAAATATTAATACTTTTTTTTTCATAAAAATTACAGCAACCCAAGACTCAAAATTCCGAATTCAGGGAAAAACCAAAACAGCAATCCAGGTTGTAACCTCCAGAATTGGAGAATTTTCAAGCCAGTCTTAACACCAACTTTATTCTAGAGATTGGGATAACACAAAGCAAGCATCACACGAATGTCAATTCTCATCAGCAAACAATGCTCCATATGGTAACAGCCAGCCTGGTCTGAGGGGAAGATAAAGAAAAGTTTTGTCCAAAGCCTTCCAACATATGGGTGCCTTCACTGTGGAAACAATTCCACAATTATGGAGGTGTGCGAAAGCACCCAACCATATGTTTGTGATAGGAAATTTAATTAAATCTGACACCTGTGATCAACATCAGATTTATTATTCATTCTTGTGAACCCAGAGATCTGCATTATTAAAAGTTTCATTTTCTGCATGACCTTGGTAGTGTTTATTACTTGGTGATGCAATTATTTGTTATGTCAATTACAACATAAAATGTATTGAATAATCAGGTATTCATGTACAAGTATTAATAACAACAAAAAAGCTAAGTCATGTCTATTTTTTATCTATATAAATGGAGTAGTGTAGCAAGCAACAGGTTAATAATCACCACCACCTTTTTGATATACAAAAAAAAAAAAAAAAAAATAACAACAAATATTATTTAATTCTAAGAAATTTTTATTATTTTTATATGAGGTCAGTTCTATATATCACTCAAGATAGAAAATGAGGTATAAAACTGTTAATTATAAACTTTTGTTTTTTATTTACTTAGTATTAGTGTAATTGAGGAAGAAGATGATAAAGAAAATGCAAGAGTATTTATTTCAATAAATTAATATTTAGTGTTCAATATTGCAAACATTAATTCAATATAAAAATAAAATTTTTCGCACACCATTATTCCCCACAATCATTCTTTTTAGTGGAAGGAAAGAGCAGGAGAGTTGGAGAAAGAAGTTAAGATGTTGAAGCAAAAGTTGAAAGATTTAGGAAACAAACCAGGTAAAGATCACAAAAAATTATTTTCTATTCATTCCATTTCGTTTATTTATTTATCTTATTTCTTAACTGTTTGATTCACTAAGGCCAACACACAATGAAACAAACTGGTAGTTATGATGATGAAGAAAGGTCTGAAATAAAACATAGACAACAAAGAAATACATTGATTAAGGCACCACCATTGTCACTATTCAAACCTGAAGTTTTCATTCTCCAGGTACAACCAAAGGTAAAGATTCAATGTGGTTGTCCATATGGTACAGAATATTTCACACAACCAATAACATAGTGGGCTTTATCTGTTATTGGTTGATCCATAAAGAAATTGATTGGATAATTTTATAATATGCCAATCATTATTAAAACTTTTTATATTGCTTTCAAGACAATAAAACAAATATATTCTTAGCAATATTTTTATTTGTAATTGGTGGTAAATAATTCAGCAAAAACATTAGGTGAAAACTCTTACTATAATTACTATGTAATAA